TTTTTTTTTTTTTGAAGCAAAGTTTCACTTTTGTCACCCTCTGTAGAATACTATGTCACAGCTCATAGCAACCTCAAATTCATGGGCTTAAGTGATAATTTTGCCTCAGCCTCTCAAGTGGCTGGGACTATAGCTGCCTGCCACAATGCCGGGCTATTATTTTTATTGCTGTCGTTCTGTTTATCATTGTTGTTTAGGAGACTCGGGCCAGGTTCGAACCAGCCAGCTCCCCAGCACCCTAACCATTGAATAACAGGCACAGAGCCCGGGTATTTTTGGTTAATATTAGTTAACATTTTGTTGGATGAGAGCAGATATACTGAGTATTTTATGCACCATCTTTCAATAAAATGTACAATTTATTAATATGAGATACTTATCAGAAAATGTTAATAAACATTTGAAACAGTAAAGATAATTTTTATTATGCTATTAATACATTCTTATTTTTACAAAAACTGAAGTAAAATAAAAATATTAACTTTGTAAAATATGATAAATCATACTATTTAAAATAAGTATTTGGGCAAAATTAAGATATCATTTAAATATAGGTTAAGAAAAGTGATGCCAATCCTGGTGATTTCTGTTTGCCCAGAGTAAACTAGAAATTTCAAGTTTATTTTGAACAATAAACTTTCTTTGAAAAAAATTTTCCAGAAATTTTTAAATTTATTTTTATTACTATTATTTATTTATTTTTATTTTTATTTTTTAGACATAACCTGAAGCTGTCGCCCTGGGTAGAGTGCTATAGCATCATAGCTCACAGCAACCTTCAACTTTTGGGCTTAAGATATTCTCTTGCCTCTGCCTCCCATGTAGCTGGGACTACAGGCACTCCCCAGAACACCTGGCTATTTTTTTTTTTTCTTTTTTGGTTGTAGTTGTCATTGTTGTTTGGTAGGCCCAGGCTGGATTAGAACCCGCCAGGTCTGGTGTATGTGGCTGGCACCTTAGCCCCTTGAGCTACAGGCTCCAAGCCTTATTTATTATTATTTTTTATTTACTTTTTTAGAGACAGAGTTGCTCTATATTGCCCTTGGTTAGAGTGCTATGACATCATAGCTCACAGCAACCTCAAACTCCTGGGACCAAGTGATTCTCTTGCCTCACCCTCCCACATAGCTGCGACTAAGGCACCGCTAGGATGTCCCACCATTTTCTTGTTGCAGTTGTTACTGTTGTTTAGATGGCACGGGCCGGGCAACAATCTCCCAATCTTGGTGCATGTGGCTGGCACTATATCCACTGTGGTACAGGTGCCAAGCCAAGTGAGCTTTTTAAAAAATCCAGAATTCCTACTCATTCTCTAAATTACTTGCTACATACATTGAAATTCTAACACATAGTTCTGAATATTTAAATCTAAAATTACAGAAAATTGAACATGAAGTAAAATGGGATGTGAAAACATAGAGACAGTAAAACCAGCAAGACAGTAGAATACAAGTCCCATCTTCATGTATTCCTCCCAAGGGAGCCATCTACAGGGAAAGATGCTTCAGTGAGAGCCCAGCACGCGGACTCACACCTGTCATCTCACCTACTGAGAGACTGAGGTGAGAGGATCGATTCAGTCCAACAGTTGGACACCAGCCTAGGCAATACAGTGAGTCACCATCTCACAACAAGTGATGTTATGAGAGGTTTAGAATCCAGGGAGGAGGTTATGAAATCCTCCTAATGTCCTTAAGGAGGCTCACTCAGAGAAGGCTGACCCTCATTCACTTAGCAAACTAGAGGATCCCTAGCCTGCTCACCTTTGTCTCATTGAGAATTCTGAAGGGACAATGTGGGCCTCTCTAACTTCTCCCAGCCATGATGTGGGAGTGGTGCTACCCATCCAGAGACCTGGAGGGAAATGTTCACTCACGATCATGGAGACAGGCCTGCAGACATGGGCAATTTGTGTGTGTGTGTGTGTTTGTATATATATGTGTACTATTTGTGTGTGCATATATATGTATGGACTTTTTGTGTGTATATAAACATAATATTTGTGTGTATGTATATCCATATATACACACACACACAAATAGTATATATGTATACACACACATACATTAGACCTCCATAAAGAGCCATCTCCCTACATTGACCATCTCCTCAACTTGGCCTGATTTTCATAGACCAGACATGCACCACATGTGTGTATTGGTACAGCAGTCCTGGTTCCTTATGCTAATCACCTCTGTATGTTGACAAGGTTATTACAGTCCCTTGAATGGTCAACTTGCCGAGGTTCTGCTGCCTGCATGTCTCTGTGTGTGTGTATGAATAAGCATATTCTAAGCCAGAGACAGTTATAAAATAAGAATTATATTGTAGCAACAAAGACACTAATATATCCTCAGGATTACTCTAAATTACTGAATGACATAATATTATTAAGAAATGTAGGCTTGGCGCCTGTAGCTCAAGCAGCGGAAGCACCAGCCATATACACCAGAGCTGGTGGGTTGGAATCCAGCCCAGGCCTGCCAAACAACAATGATAACTATAACCAAAAAACAGCCAGGCTTTATGCCAGGTGCCTATAGTCCCAGCTACTTGGGAGGCTGAGGCAAGAGAATTGCTTAAGCTTAGCAGTTGGAGGTTTCTGTGTGCTGTGATTCCACAACACTCTACACAGGGTGACAGCTTGAGACTCTGTCTCAGAAGAAAAAAAAAAAGTGTAGCAGCTGGATGTGGGTGATCCTACCTCTAATCCTAACCCTCAGGGGGTCCAAGGCAAATTGACTGCTTGAACTCAAGAGCCCTGGACCACCCTAAGCAAGAGGGAGACACCAACTCTGCTAAAAACTGCAAAACTAGCCAAATGTGGTGGAAGACACCTGTTTCCAGATACTCAGGAGGCTGAGCCAAGGGGATTCCATCACCTGAAGTGTATAAGGTTGTGAACTATAATGCCATGACATGTTATGTTGTCTCAAAAAGAAAACGCCAAAAGTGAATTGTAGGGAGTAGATATCTTTAAACATACTAAGGTTGGCAAAGGCCAGGTGCTGGGGCTCAGCCTATAATCCTAGCACTGTAGGAAGCCGAGGTGGGTGGATTGCTTGAACTCACAAATTTGAGACCAGTGTGAGCAAAAGCAAAATCCTATCTCTACTAAAAATAGAAAACCTGAGGCAAGAGCACTGCTTAAGCCTGAGGTGGAGCCTGCTGTGAGCTATGACACCACTGCACCATAACCAGGGTGACAGCTTTAGACTTTGTCTCCAAAAAAATGGTTGGCAAATTACTGCACATAGAAATTAAGTTATTTTTCACAGTCCATATAAAAACAGAATTTTGAGGCTAAAGAACATCAAACTTGGCTCAGTGCCTGTGGCTCAAGCAAGTTAAGGCTCCAGCCACATACACTAGAGCTTGCGGGTTTGAATCCAGCTCGATCCTACCAAACAACAATGACAACTACAACCAAAAAATGCTGGGCGTTGTGGGGGGCACTTGTGGTCCC